AGGTCTATCTTACCAAAGAATTTTTTTCTCTTTGACCTTTGATGTATGCTCTGCCAGTAGTACTTGACACTCAGCGTTACACTTACAACTGTAATGTCAAACACTTGAAAATGCGCTTCTTATAATTTAGAATTCTTTATCAATTATCTACTTATTTTTACACATGGTTCTAATGCGAATGCTTCTTTGAGTAGGAAGGCCTGAAATGAAAGCCTTTACTTATACAGCATTCTCCTCTACATATCCTACGTAAGCAGTAAAATGAAGACTCATTTCCTGTTGCCGCATTTAAGAACATCGCTTTTTGTAGAACACATTCGCACTTGGAATAAAAGTAGTCATTTCACAGGACGCTGGACCCATCATATTTAAAGGGAACAGTAGAATGCCCTAAAGGAATGCATTTGCAGTATGTGGGTCATGATCTCCCTACCCGAATTTCAGTACCCCAAGGTTTATGACTTTTGTATAACTAGGTTTAACATCGGTGGGCAGTATTATTACAAGTAGGTGTTTGATGAACAGTGATTTATCTGTCGTTTAATGCCATTTACATTATCCATAAACAAATTGTAACATTTATAAACAAAACTTGAAAGGTGTATGTGCAAAATTTTCAGGAAGACGAATATTGGCGGTTGTCGTTTGGCATTTATATCCGTAAATTTAAATTCATGCTCATTTTGTCAGAATTTGTAGTAGATTTATACACATTCCTCAACGCGTTGTATTTAATATTTACCACATTTTCGTGTGGGGGGGATTATCAAACATTTCGACATCAGAAACGCATCGTTAAATCTACACAATATACGTAGCGATGCACCAGTCTTGAATTCAAGAGTGTTTAACATACATAACCTACTAACTTCATGTGAAGTGGAAATTATGTGGGGCGCGACAAGGGACGCTCCACTAAGCTTTCTAAAGGTGTCCCCAAATAAGCTAAACACAGTTCAAGATAGTAATATTACTGCTATCCACTGTCGCTTGCATGAAGCAGTTTAGAACGATTCTTTGCCCCGAGTCGCAACCGTTTTATTTCACTCGGTTCAATAGATGATTTCTCAGATCTACTGTTCGTGTTTCCCTTTTTTTCTTCTCGAAATATTTAAGGCGTGGTTTTTCACCATGACATGTAAAATCTTTCATAGAAGTTACTTTTTAACGAATTCCTCGGTAATCAAAGGGGATGCAAGTTACGTTTCATAAAATAATGGGGTATTCAAGGCATACACAGAGCCCGTTTTGAAGCAAAAGCAGTATAGTAATGTATTGGTGTAAGTGTTACATTTTCTGCTTAATTCTTTTGCCATATTACGTAATAGTTGGTCCGAATGTCCATCCAGTTTGGCTTTAGAATGATTTTGAAATAGGTCAGGCTTGTCAATAACATTGGTGATTGGGCGTAGTGGGGGAAAGAGGCTAAGCCCCCCCCCCCTCATCCATGGAAATTTGAAATGGAGGCCCTAGTTAACAGACAATAGTAATGATAATGCAAGAAATATATATTTCTGATAATCTTGCTTAATTTGATTTTTTTTTTTTCAGAAAGGGAAATATTTTAGATTCAAATTAACTAAACCGTTTCATTATCCCATATGCAAATTCATCAGAACCAAATTATAGGGGATCCCTCAAGGGACCTAATATTCCTGGCTCTGAATATATCTACCACATGAATACTTGGGTAACCGTATAAACCCTAGCCAAAATAGATAATTCCGGCTTTATTACAAAGTAGTATTTCTGGTTTATATGAAAGTTCCAAAACCTAGCGCCGTAACTCGCACCAATATGGCGGGTCCTTTGCTCTGTAAAAGGGCCGTAAGATCGCTCGGCCGTAAGTTACGGCGCCTTAATGCGTTTGAGAATCTGGCTCCTGGGCACGAGTCGATCAAAACTTAATTGTCTTTTCATACATCATTCTTGCAACCCCCTCCCCCCCTATTATTAATGCAGTCTAACATGGATCATGCATTATGCTTTCTCGATTTAAACCATTTTCCATTGCTAAGACGACCGCTTGCTACTTCATGTACTTGAATGTACACTAGTAAACCATAACAAGCTATCCAGCTGAAAAAAATTACTTGTTACTTAATGCTCGTCTTAATGCAAAATTATGTAAACGCCAGGTGAACTAAATGGTTTTTACCCTTTATCCGAGTATTGTACAAGCGGACATGGCCGATGAGCGCACAGGTGGGCAACAAATTGATACGTCACAGGACAAACTACTCGATAAACAAGTATTTCCTAGTTTTCTCGCCTGTGACGTCATCTATGCAGTTTTCCGCTGCTTATACCCACATGACATCCATGCAGTTTTCCGCTGATCATACCCTCTCGTACAGAGTCCTTCAAGAGTATAGTGGTAGCATAAAATACTCGTTTGTAAAGGCCAATATTTAGGAAAAAATCTAAAAAAAAAAATTGTTTAGTAAATGGTTTTATTTTTACATGTCAAAAAGTCAATATTTCCTATCAAATATTTCACTGAAAATTTTAACAGTACAATCACACAAGATTCAATCAGTTTAGCAGAAATAATTTCCTAAATATTCATTACAGCAATCAAATTTGTGCAATAACCATGCAGGCCACCACAAGTTTTTCCAAGGTTCAAAAAAAAGTTAATAAATATATTATAAAATTTATTAAGTTAACTGAATGCATTACACTGGATAAACTTGTGCTCTTGTATTTCAGACAAGGGCCGGAATGATTTGTTATATCAATTTTAGTCTTTCAAAAGTTCACTGCATTGCGTCATTTTTTATTACAGAAAAGAAATCCAAAAACTATTGCACAAAACTTAACACATTCGTAATCTCAGCTTTCACACAAACAGAGGCACAGGACAAGCTTCACCGGTAATTCCTTTCGATATAATCCAATCTTAATACTGTCAGCAAGTTTCACCTGACAAAGCCTCTTTGAGAGGAAACAAATTTACGTATGTTTAATTGCATACAACAATACAGATAGTACATCAAAAAGACATCCTTTGATTGCTACATAGAGGGAAAAATTATAATGCATGGAATAATCATACATGACTAACATATCTGCAGCACTCGTTACACAACACACTGTGGTGTCAACACACCCTCCTTGTAAAAATTTCTCATTAGATCTCAGAGTTCGGTCTTCTTGGCTTTCTTTGCCTTACCCTTGCGGTCATACCCATTCAGTTCGTTTGTGGAATGTTGGGCAATGTACTTGACAAAATCGTCCAATTCTCGGCCACCCTGAGGAAGTTGAAGTCAAGTTTAAGTTCATCAATTCAGTACAAGTATTTTTCAAACCATCAAAGATAAGGACCTTACTGAACAAGTATCTGACCAACTCATTGTCGACTCGTTACATTCAATAAAATTGAAATTCCAGTATTCAGCACTAAAACTTGACACAAAATGGCCTTTACTTACATTGTAATTCCTTGGCACGCCACCCTTGGGTTTCCAGAAGATGGTGGGGAAACCTTGAACATTGTACTGAGGAGGAACATCATTGGCAGTGGCATCCATCTTTACAATGTCTACATCTTCATCCTTCATCTGTTAGGAAACATGGTTTATCAAAGAACAAATTAAGTTTACAGAAAATATCCACAGCAAATATCCAGTATTCATTCTGAAATGATCACTATGACAATTTGAAAAATAACTTACCGCCTCTCCCAGTTCATCGTAGGTGGGTGCCAATTTCTTGCAGTGACCACACCAAGGAGCATAGAATTCGATGAGGGCATCACGCTCATCAGAGACCACTTCATGGAAGTTCTTGCCAACAGCAACAGTGACTGGGCCATCCTGAGTTGGCACTGCCTCAGACTTCAGATATGGCTCAAGCTCATCTGCCTTCAGCTTTGTGAGGAATACTTGGAGGTTATCCATTCTATGGAAGGAAAGTTACACAGGAGTAAATTTTTATATTCCACACCAATATTTTTTGGGGGAATAAATAAAAAATAACGATAATACTTACGAAAATTCTTCCTGCATAACAAACTTTTGGCCTTTAGCATTACGCGCACAAATTACTGGCTTGTCACCAGGAACATAATCAAGGCCATATTCATTGAGGTCATGCTGGAAGTCATCCTTATTGGCAACAGCGAACTTGAAGTCGTCAGCAAAGTTTTGTCCTACCTGCAAAAACACCACCTAATAATTCTACTGGTCAACTCTCCTTAATATGTCAAAGCTAACAATCACTTTGCAAATCTTTTTCTACTCATGCCAAGTCATACCTTGAGGACACGGTTGCGCCAGTAATTTGTACCCTTAATATTTTTGACATAATCAACATTGTAATAAGCAATCACAACTGGTGGCTTGAAATCCTGAGCAGTGTCTTGAGTTAGGTGTCCTACTAAACCATGGCTGCAAAGAAACAGTAATTTATATTTTCTAAATTGAGAAGTCAAATACTAACGGATTCAATATAAAGAGCATTTAAGCGTACAGAAAGATCTTATGGTAAATTTAAAGCCACATTATGATTCATGAACAGTATTATCACATTAAGTTTTGCCCAATCTGTAGAGTCAAACAAGGCAACATCAGTTTTAAACTACAGCAAAACGTACTTGAAATTACTTACAAGTTCTTTTTGATGAAAGACTCAATCTCAGCCCTGTCAGCTGATCCCTCAAACACAACAGAGGATGGCTCAAATTTGTTCTCAAGGTGTTTTGGTCGGAAGAGCACAACCACGTCACTGAATCCATACTTTTCATTAACAGTGGCATCGAGCGAGTGTGCAAAACGAATGGATTCCCTCAGCTTATCGGCAGCCTTCAGGAAAGCATCTGAAATTAAAAAGGTAGTTGTTTCAAAGCTATACAGGATAAATTGGTCCTTGTTTAAATTTGTAATTAAATAGAAAAAAAAGTTCAATGAAACTGGATTGTTAGCAAGGGTACTCTAAACCATTGAATGTAAACCTAGAATGCTCATGAAAACAAGTTTTTAAAGCTCATTAACATCAATCTAATAGTAAAAGCCAGGACATGTTGAATATCTTGTCATATCTGCATAAAGACATTTGGAATGCTATATGCAGCAGTGCAAGTTTGTTTGGTCGTGGAAGACATGACATCCAAATTCTACTTCTAAGCAATGAATTTTAGCATTGAAAGATTTTGCCTCTTTCCTTGGTGAAGCATTGATCAAGTAGCTACGTTGAAGGAACAGCACATGGGAATACAAACCTTTAAGTTTGGAATCTCCACCAAAGTAAACAACTCCAACTTCAGCAGCACCAAGGAATGCTTCTGCTGCTTCCACGGAGGTCAATTCCTTTGAGGCCGGTCCAACCTGTGACCTCATGTACTTTACAATACCACCTGGAGGGAGAATCTATATTTAGAAAATGCACAGCAGCCAATGCAAGGGGGTTGGGGATTATGTCACTCATGTTCAAGGTAGACATGGATCTGTCAAGCACTTACTGGCATCTCGTGGACCATTGTAGTCTGTAGAGAGCTCTCCTCCCTTAAAGATCTTCAGTGTAGGATAGCCCGAAACACCAAATCTGCTACAGCTGTCCTTTCCATCATCAGTACAATCCACCTGGCAAAAGGGGAAGGGGGGGTTAACTACATTGTAAAAATTCACATTAAAATTTAAACCAAAACTTGACATTTGACATATGCCAACAATGTCTCAACCTTTACACAATTCTATCTTGTAACCATGATTAGTGTTATTTGGCTTATTTGGCTTATTTAACATGCATTTTTTCACCATATTACTAATATAAATTACAAATTCAAAGTGCAAAATCCTTTATACAGGCATCTAGTCTGAGGAATCCATGCTATACAGTATAAAGAAGTTTACTAACATCAGTTTAAAATACTGCATCTACTATATCCACAGATTTCAGTTATGTCAGTAGCCAAATAAGATTAAGTTGCAAAATAGAAATGGCTTGCAACAAAAATAACAACGACTGGTGAAGTGTGCACTCAGCATCCAACCCATATTGATTTGCCTGTTGTGACTAACAACATTCAATACCAAGTAACATGTCCAAAAATACAAACCAAAGCCATCAATAAGATCTGTAGTTACCACATACAGGACTATGAAGAACTCTGCAAATGGGGGCCCAAATGAATGATGTTGAAAACCTTTGTATACAAGTGAAGTTTTCCACATACCCTACTACAAGTGGTGCATCTTATTAACAGCTTATGCCTCTAGTTATGTTCTCCCTAATCTAAGGTTATTTTCTTATGATAAAGCACTTGCTTTGCTGTACCAATGACCCAAGAATAAAAAACATTTACTTCAATATTGACTTTCAAACGACTTCCATGGAGAGTTGTCCAATGTTATGAAACTAAACTATAACTGGAGACATTTTAACTACAATCAACCAGCAAACAATTTGAATAGGAAAAAAAAAAAGCCCATCTTAAAGTATCTGGACAGATTCCTCAGTTGGTATATAAAATGTTTACTTTGTGCATAGTTTACATTCTTTAAAACACTGATTGCATGGCCAAATACGGGGGGGTAGGGAGAGAAACTTGCCATTTTGAAATATGACAAATTAAATCTAACCTATTTGGGGGAGGGGGGGGGGGAGCAATGAACACTAGTATACACAATTTTCCTCATTAAGTTCAAAATCTAAATTACTGCTTGTTCTATTGTAATAGACAAGTTTACTGAAAAATATCAAAAGGCAATCTCAAACCCATGAAATCAGGCGTGTGAATTAGGCTTTGTTAGTAAAGCAGAGGGAACCCCCTGATCCTTTCCCTTATAATTATATATTATATATATTATATATAAATTTAAGTAGCAATTGCAAAAAACATGAAAAAAAAAAAAAAAAATCTGAATTTGTCAAAATGGACATTAAAGCTTACAAGTTCGGTCAAGTTCAGGCAACAGTAGCACAAAACCTTAGAAAAGTTTTCAGATGGAAGGTACTTTGAATGAATTCTGAAATTTTAAATACTAAATCTATCGTTCTTCCTAGCATCAGACATGAACATGGCCATTACATAAACTCAAAATAGTGAGTTCTTGATAAAACCACAAATTATCTGGGAAAGTATGCAGCTTTATAGTAGTTACAAGCCCAAGTATCAATACAAATAGAGCAAATCAAAATTAAAAATTAAAAAGGAAATCTTTAGTTTAATACAATTATACCTAATCCCTTTACATGAAATTACACTGGACATGGCCAAAACCAAAGATCTACAGATGCTAGTAATAATGTTCCTACAATTATATTGCTATGCCTTTCTAAAACTGAAGATGTATGATCATAATCAGTTATTGTAGACAAAATCAATTTCCAATTTCACAAGTCATTGCATAAATTCTACAACCCTTTGTATTTGATAAATGCAAGTCATTCACGACCTAAAACCTACCAAGTAATTTACCCCCACAAACTTCCTACCTTACCTTAGCAAGGTAGACTGGAGGGTCGTTGGCCTTCAAGGTAGTAGATGCCTTCTCGAACTCTGGTTTTAATCTCTTGCAGTGTCCACACCTGGGGGGAAAAAAAAATTGCTTTTAATGCCTGACAGATGTGGTTATCTGAATCTTGAGACATACTTGACCATACCTTTATTCAGGAACAGTAGCTTATGAAAAAGGCTGAATTAAGATGGTTTGACAAACTTGAGTCTTACAAGTTCTATGTACTAAATACCAAAGTAAAGAGGTATACTGCTCTTTGGCATTCTTGTTTAAGTATAGACAAAACTTTGTTGCTGAGGTAACATTATTCTGAAACCAAATACTAGGTTCCTCTTTACTAGGTGCAGTTTACTACTTCTAAAACTTCATGTTCCATCAACTATAGCACTGCTTTGCAAGGGTTAGCAAAGTTACTTTAACTCATTACTCTCCAGTGACAAGTTACAAGACCAACAGTAATAGGTTCATCCTGGAATGACATGGCTTTCAAGATTTAAAAAGATCATTTACATGACTTTCCAATGACATAAAATTTAGAACTTTTTATCCTATTCGTAATAGGATCTCAGCCATACCAGCCATGCAACTGGCAACAAATGGATTGAGCCCCTCAAAATGAAATTTAGAAGCACAGGCAAAATTTATCCTCTCCATACTCTAAGGCTGCTTCATAAAGAACAGACTAAAAAGACCCACAGCCATGGCCAAACAAGTGAATTTTTTCAGTAGTACAGGCATTCGATCCATGTGGACCCGGCTATTTACATGCCGTGGCAGTTATTTTGAGGCCATGTTGCTTAAATCAACTACTACTATGTAACTAGGAATTCTTTTAGGCACGCATTAGTCGTGCATGCTGTGATTGTACACTGAATCAATTGTGGTTTATGCAACAGACCACATTTATGCCAAAACTAATTTTCAGCAATAATACTTTTGTAATATAGATTTATCGCACTTATATATTTATGAAATTTGTATGAAAATGTTAATATTTTGTAATCTGCTAGTTCTCATTAAAACCAATTTAAGTTGTATAAACCTATTGTCACACCTATTATACTTGACCATTGTAGGTCCTCAATGTGGTATTTCATATTTGCAATTTCCAATTTCTAAAACTTGGAGCTAGTGGGGGGGGGGGGGGGGGGGGTTTTGTGTGGGTATTATCTGGTAATTTGCACATAAATTGTTATAAACAGTGACCATTTCTTATTTAAACAAGGCATTTATCATTTCAGGTGCTATATGTTGTACCTTGTGTGAAACATTTCAAAACTAATGATATCAATTTTGTTTTTTCATGACATTTTCATGACTAATTCACTGTTATCTTAAACACTAAGAACAAATATGCAGCTGCCACCTATTTCACCTGGGCTGTTGTTCAGTCAAATACAAGTTTATCAAATGGTATACATACCCGTGATCATTTACTGAACTGTTTGCATATCAGGCATTGCCATGATGGCAATGTGCATGTCTGGCATGCATTGGTCCATGCACTACGAACTGTGCTGCCATCTCTTAGTATTCAAGACTTGCCTCAGCTTTGTTGTTGTATTATTGTAGGAGCGCTGCATATTATTATTAATATTATTAATATTATTATTATTATTATTAATATCAATATTATTACTATTTATTTATTTATAAAATCTGGAAACGTCAAACTTTTGTTCGCTTCTGCCGTCTGGATTGCTTCGATTTTAATAATTTTTCAGCATTTGGAGCTCTTGATGGGGCCAGACATTAAACTGGGATGGTTACTAAAGTGAAGATTCTTCAGTGCCACTATACAAGCCCTACAAATATCCCAGAATCAACATTTCTCACCAGCATTCTACCTCGAAATGACTTACTCGGAACTGACAAACTTGGCAGCTGATGAAAGAAAGCCAAACGCTTGATGCACACTTATTCTAAATAAGTATAGATAAATCTTAAAATACGCAAATGAAGTATAACATTAAAACTTTAAATGCATAAATGTAACAATGATTAGTCAATGTATATATATAATTACTCCCATTTGAAATAAAATCAGAAAAATATAGTTGAGAGGCTCACACTGCTTGCAATCTGGTCTGCATTTTCATTATCAAATTTCTTGTACATACCTATAACTGTCTTGTATTGGGCATCTTAACAATTCACAGGTTTCGCTTGAAAGAAACAGACTCGCATACCAGCGCTATTCTTGAGGCCTCTTGCCCGCAATATGGGTCAGACATCGATTTGCGAGAAATTTCTTGTAAATACTCATTGAGTAATAATGGTAAATTGTCATTTTGTAATAAAATTATCCAAGTACCATTAGGTGGGCTTTATCTGCCTGCGAAACTGATTAAAATAAATGCACAAAAATAAAATGGCATCGTTTTGTTTGCAAAAGGAGAGCAATTGTTAGAGCGATGCACCCTCCCAGAGACTAAGTCGAAAAAATTGATGTTTTTCTGCATGAAATCCTATGATTTCCCAATTTTCGGTACCGTTTCTTCTGCGAATGAATTGTTCAGGAGATCGAGTACCATTTCTCCATCGACGATCTTGATTTGATAGTCCCATTAGCAGGGGTGGGCATGAAGTATATCAGGGTAATTATGGAGTAAAACAAGCTTTAAGAGTAATAACGAACAAAAACAAAACTAGCACAAAAAAACAAAAAAAATTAAAACTGGCCAATGAACTCGACAGATGTAACCACCATCTTTGAAATTTTACAGGCTGATGTGCCAGAAATTAAGAACTATGGGAACCCAACCCACCTTTCAGCAAAACTACAGGAATTCACACGTTCCAACCCCCAAAAACGTATTGACTAATAAACCAACCTAATATATCAATATAAATTGCCGTAACTAGGCATGCCCTTCAGGCACTGCCCGATGGGTGGGTTGATGTGGGGCAAGCCCCCCCAATACCCCCCAGGATGCATTCTCTCCACCATGGTATGTATGGCGTATGGCAAGACAGCTGCATTCACACCGTAAAATAATAAACCAAATACCTTTTATGTCTGGAAACTTGAAACTTTCGTTTCTTTGTACTGTTGGGATTGCTTCGATTTTAATCACCTTTTTCGTCATTTGGAGCTCTTGAAGGGCTCAGATATAAGACTGGGATGGTTACTAAAGCCTAATTTTTCTTCGATGCCACTGTTAAAGTCTTAAAAAGAACCCAGAATCAACACTGGAAACGCAACATTTCTCACTGGCTTTCAATCCAGTGAGCGGTATGGTGAGTTGTCAACCTGTGGCCGGCGCAAGAAAGTGTGAAACACTCGAGGCACAGGATTCTATACGAGGGTATAGATAAATATAAAAATATGTAAATGAAATATAACATTAAGACTTTAATGGCATAAATGCATACCAGCAGACATAATTAGCCAAATATCATTTTGACAAGTGCCTAATGATACATGAACTAGTTCGCGAACGCAAAAATGCGTTAGTGGGTCAGTGTCATGTTCTCTTCGCAAGGTAAACAAACTCATCAACTTTGAAAGGTGGCTGCGCATTATATTTACGTCATTTAGCGGTGACTAAGGCCGGCGCATCTTAAACTATATGCCATTTACCCATTTGATCCCCCGCTCTATAAGATGGCGGTGTCCATTTCCCTCTATCTACGCGCGTCCGTGTCTAACCTACCCAAAAGGAAACAATCACATGGCAATTTTTAAAATATCGAGTTTCATTACAGGCTCCGAGACACTTGTTCGTTGCAATTGAAGTACATAGAAGAGAACTGGACCTGTACCAAATCTTAACCCGTTGGGGTTACCCATGCCCCTCTCTAAAAGACTGACAACCTGCAACATTAAAGCCTTCACCAAAACCGCAAATTCCCCGCTTGACTTCCCGGCATTCGCCTCCCTCCCGCCTGCCTGTGGCCGGACGGGATGCAGGCTGTGCAAACCGCTCGAATGGGCCGCCCTCGGCCCGGGGCCCGCCACAGGAGGTGCACAAACCTTCGGCGTTTAGCCCTTAATCTACTATCCAAAATGAACATTACAAAACAGAGCAAAATAAAACTTCAATCAAACCACACTTTATAGTTTGTTCGGAAAGGCCTGATGCTATAGACACCGCACGAGTGTAATTTTCTGCAATACGAAGTCCGCAAATACAAAGCAAGGGTCAAGCACGGCCTGCAAGAGCCCCTTCCTGGCTTCAAAGGCAAAGGGGAGGGCAAGGACAGGCTGCCTGGCTTACCACGGGGCGTAAAACATGACGAGGACCGTGTCATAGCTGGCCACTTTCCCGTCGAAATCCGCGTCGTTCAACTGCAGGACATCGTCTCCCAGCGCCACAGCCACGAGGGAGAAGAGTAGTATTAACAATCTCGTAGCCATTCTCTTCTTTTCTTCGTCTTCACGCTCTTTCTTGCCACTCCTTCCACACAATCCTTCTCTGCGTGTGCTTCTTTCCGACTGTTTAAATGCCGGCAAGAGATGTGTGTTGCCTCCGAGGGGACTCCAGATAGTCTCTTTTTTCCGATGATTTATTTACCATCAGATACAATCGATGTCTATTTGTTTACCGTTAATGACAAAATATGTATATCTAGTTGTCTTGTGGAGTATTTTCTTCTTATTTTGTGCTTTCTTTCAGATAGAAAATATTGATACAGGTATAACATCTCCTATTGATATCGCTATGTCTCTATGTGGTGGCCAGCGATGATTGGCTGAGGGAGCGTTACTATAGCCAATGAGCGGCTTACACTTAGTTTGACATCTCGCCGCGGTATTTTTAAACGCGAGAAAAACACCTGTTTGTTTCCCTGGATTTAATTAATTTCAACAAGCAGGTGTGCTTTGCATAATTTTTTTTCATTAGCATTCATCCCTATTTTTCACACATAGAATCTGAGGTGCTGTAAGTCTGCTTTTATCTACTTCTAATTTCCTTTCTGTACTCCATAATTTTTATTTTCTCTTTATCCCTCTCCCTCTCCCTCTCCCTCTCTCTCTCTCTCTCTCTCTCTCTCTCTCTCTCTCTCTCTCTCTCTCTCTCTCTCTCTCTCTCTCTCTCTCTCTCTCTCTCTCTCTCTCTCTCTCTCTCTCTCTCTCTCTCTCTCTCTCTCTCTCTCTCTCTCTCTCTCTCTCCACCCCAACCCACATTTACATTCACTACACCACAAACATACTTATATGTAAGTGCACATGCAACACGCTTTACTCTATAAATGGCTGTCGGAATGGTCACCATGTATCACCTGCGCCAAGAACCTTGTGCCGTAAGAAATTCATCGATAACGCCATGAAGATGACAATTAGATAAAATGAGATAAGATCTTAATGTGATGTTATTTTCTTATGTAGAAGGTTTGCATGCTAAGGATCTCTGTAAACGATCTTACATTTCGTATGTATGCTCGTAAGTTAGCAAAAATATGAACGCGCAAACGTACATATAGTTACAGATGTACACATAAGTACACGAACCATTCTCGCATGTATACATACATTTGCAAATATTCCCACCGGTGAATATGTACAAGATGCTTTAATAAACAGCTATGTTCATGTACACTGACACACACAAATTCATATCTACATAAACACACACACACACACACACACACACACACACACACACACACACACACACACACACACACACACACACACACACACACACACACACAGTGTATATATATGTGGTGTGTATATATATATATTATATATATATATATATATATATATATATATATATATATAATATATACATACATACATATATATACATATACACATGTATATCTATCTATCTAAATATATACATATATATACAAATAAATATATATATATATATATATATATATAATATATATATATATATATATATATATATATATATATACATATATGAATCGAAACATGACAGACACATGTACAAAGCGAACAAGATAACAGAGGTAACAGCTGTCAAGATGACGTCACAGATTTGCACAAGCACCTCGGCTGTTGATGACGAAGCCAGGTTACTCAGACAAGGCCGTGGCGACTGGTCAGGCGCAGAATTAATTCCTCGCCACCCAAAAAGAGCCAGCAACCCAGCACGACTCTGGCGACGGAGAGGATCGGCCGGAAGTGGCAACAAGAGATCCCCGGCGGCTTCCACGCCTTCGGTGCCGTTACGCGGACCCAGCGCGGCCAGGTTGACGGCGGGAGGGGGGGGGGAACTGGGTGCGCCTCGCTCTGGCACATTAGTCTTCTTTCCCTTTTGATTTTAATCAATCTTAATCGTTTATTGTTGTTTTCCTTCCGTTCCTTTTGTCCTTCTCTCCCCCTCCTCCTCCTCCCACCTTACGTCACACTTTCCATTTCTTTCCCTCTCCCCCTTCCCTCGCAATCACTTTGCCCCTCCTTTATCGCTTCCCCTTTCCCTCTCATTTACTCTTTACCCCTTCCCCCTTCACTGCCTCTCCATCTCTTCCCTTTCTCCTCCACTCTTTCTCTTTCTTCCCTCTCTCTTCCCCATCTCTCCCCTTTCTCTTGTCTTTTGCTTGTGAAGAGTAAAAAGTGATAAGATAAATCTCCACTTTTGTATGGACATTTGTATAAAGTCATTGTATTCCCCACAAATAGACATTTCTTAATTTTAAAAAAATCTATGAACTTACATGTAATATCGCCACATAAGAAGCATTTCATGCCGAATACTTGAAAGCTGAAAGCTGTTTCCCTGATTCCCGCGAGCACGTAAACCCACTGATTCTGTGGCATAGATCTGGCACACCGGGGAGCGTATGACAGGCACTTTCCAAAGGGGAGCCTCTCTGGGACACACATGGGAGTTCCCTTTGCGAAGGATTCTTTTTACGAAATTTGATAAGGATCCATAAAAAGATCAGATTTCAGAGTATGGCCCGTTCTTACATTTTCATTAAAAAATATGTATAAAAATGTAACATATTATTTCACTTGGCCATACTCTGAAATGAGGTATCAGTATCGCATATCAAACCATATTCACATATATGTCTTTTTTGCGATAGATAGCTGAGAAACAATCTTGTGTAGAATTCTTCCCCAACCTTTTATTTCCGTGTATTTTCCCGTTCGCTCCACCTCTTGTGTAAAGAGAATGTTATGCTTTTACAAAAATAACAGTTTCTCGGCTCTCCCGCTCGACAATGGGAATCTCTGTGAAACGCTCGACTAGATGATACCTTTGCTAATCCCTTCAAAAGGTCATCTTGCAATCTCATTACACGTTCTCTAAGACAGCATTAACGTTCCGAATGGTATACCTGCCAGCTCTAGTAATTAACTAATAGGCATTTCGTCCTCATCTCGATGCAGCACATCAGAATTGGAGCCGATGGCGGGGGAAGGGAAGGGGAGGCTTGTCATTAGTAGCTTCGCATCTACACAGAAATTACTGCAATTAGCAAGATCACCCAAAGCTTATGTGGCCATATACCCTGAACAGCCAGTTACAGAAAATACTTCATCTGGTATCGAAGAACGAATATCTCATAAGTAGGCCACAGCCATAGACTAAACAGAATAAACAAAAAGATCACAGAAAATATGTCCGACTATTCACCCTAGCGAACAAATAGCCACTTTCAAACGACAAGCCACCTGCCTTGCCGATTACCGGAAGTCCAGCAAGAGTAAACCGTTGATAACGAGGAGAAATTAGGTGCACATGCTGTCGGGGTAATTAGGAAATCATGCCTGGTAATTCTGATAATCATCTGGCTCCATAGGATTATACATAGGCTTAGCAACATGAGGACGAGCACACGGAATACTAAGATTAGATTTTAGTGTTTACAATAAAAGTGTGAGTATATAATGCGATATTTCAAACAGCCAAGCTACACTACATCTCGCAGGTGTACTTCACAGATGGACAGGGAGTGAAAACAAAGTACAAAGGAGCAGACGTTTGTGGTACAAATAAAACGTATACCTTAGATACTGATTGGATGGAAATACATTACATCACCTGTTGTAACATTTGTGTTGTCTTTTTTATCTATCATATATTGTCTTTATGTATTGCGTTTATTTACAATTCTACATGTTTACTGCAAATATATTCTAGACTTTAAGAAACTAAATTATAAACAATTCTTCCCTGAAATCACTGCCTTATTTCCTGCTTAATTATCTCCGCCGAGCAGGTTATGTTTTCGGTCGCGTCGGTTTGCTTGTTATTTGGTTAGCAGGATGAATAAAAAAGTTATGAACAGATTTTACCAGAGGCGCCTCTGTCTGTCTAAGATTCCATTCACTTTCCGTGGTGATCCGGATCGTGATCCGGATCCAGTGACTTTTGAGGTTATGGTTACGGACGTCACCCGTGTACTTGAGAAAGGAGATTTTGATATAATTCTTAAAGTGTGAATATTTTTATTACATCATTGACCTTATTGCCTTGGCAGAGGTAAGCGCTCTCCGAATGCTTGTAGTTGTAAAATGATTTCTATGGCAACGGCGACGCGACCAGCAACGACGCCATTACAAAAACGAGAAGCAACGATCAAGAAACCTATTCGTTACTTATTAGCAGACAATACATTTCTGATCTTGTACGACTATCTGACTCCGGCAGATATCGCGAATATATAAACCTCGCTGATTAACATTTACTGCCGGTTATATACGATGCTTAATAAATTACCATAAAGCAGCTGGCAGTCTGTACAGCTGTGTTAACTCCCCAAACGAGCTAGGAACCATCGAACTGTGTGTGAGCGCGTGTGTAAGTATGGGTTTGCATGTGCGTGTGTCTCGCCTTCATGCTATTCTTTTACAATTACCGCATGTATACACAATGACCTGAAATAAGTGCCCAGTAACGCGATACGCGACAAGCAAGCACAGAAATTCGCTATAGTGCGTAAGGTGTAAATGCCAATAGGACTGATAGACTGTCTCCTGCAGTCATTACTATCAGTTTTAAAGTAATGTTTCTCTTCATTTATTCACTTTCTTGTCTTCCGAAATATGAAGACTTTTGTGGCCGACGTGTTTCCCTATCGATTTTTTTTTTCTTTTTACAAAAGAACCATTTTGGTATATGTGCGCCCCGAGAACGAATCATGCAGAAACTCCGGTAATTCCTACATATTCATTAATGTCAGTAGAACACGTCCTCCACTTTCTTTTAAGTTTGAAAATAACTTATAAGGCAGAGGACTCGTTTGTAACGTACTTTTTCAGCCTGTTGGGAAGAAAGAAAGAAAAAGAAAAACTCCGAGATTATAATTTTAGTAATAACCAATCGATAAAATATTTCCTAGGCGGCAAGATGAATATCTGTCGGGGCCGCGAGCGCCTCTCGGGCCGCGCAATGACGAATGCCATGGCTGGCGTGATTCCGATTGCCTTGCACACCTCCTTGCACCTGCGCTTGTCAATGCTCACCCGCCGGAGCATATCAGAACATGGCCTTGTCGAAGAAAAAATAGTATAATATTGGTTTA